CCCCAAAACCCCAAAACCCCAAAACCCCGAGGAAGTATGGATTTAGAATATTTAAAAAGTCTTAAAGAAATCAAAAATTATATTAATGCAATAGAAAATCAATCTGTTCCACTTTCATTCGTCGAGATTTCATCAAGCATTCCTTCAAAGAAAACAATCTGATCAAATATGGCCCAGAAACCAATACTCTCTTCGCCCAATATTTTAATAAGCATCTCTCTGTTCTCATCAGCACTCTTATTATAGTTAGATTTTAAAGAATTTAGAGCCTTCTCAAATAGTTGATTGCCTAAACTAGCCATGCATCTATGTCTTAAAAATTTAATTCTTTCTCGAATCTTAAGGATTTGAGGATCAACTTACTCCAAACCGTTATCCATTCCATCATCTTCATCATCTTCGTTTTCCTCATCCTCATCAAGACCTCCTAATTCATCCTCATCATCTTCTCCATTGAATTCATCCTGTCCAGGATCTTCCTCTTCATCTTCTTCTTGATTCTCATATTCCTTAACTACCTCATCTATTATCTCAGGATCTGGAACTACTGTTCCATCTTTAAGTACTCTAGTCATTAACTGTGTTCTTTTTAAAGTCTCTTTGATCTCCTCAATCCTCACAGTCTTCATTGTAAGCTTTTACTTCATTGTCATTAGTTGAGTCTTCAATGTTTTCAATTCTTCTCTTTAGGCTCTTCTCTCCTCTCTTTCTTCATTACTAGTCAACATTAAGTCATCTGCCCTTTCATCTTCAGATTCTTCCTCAATCTCCTCTTCAATAATATCTTCTAACTCATCATCTTTCACCTCTTCAAACATACTATAGTCTTCCTCAATTTTCTTATTTTTTTATTTACTAGCGCTCAGATTCATTTGTATAGTGGTTCCAGATGCAGTACTTGCTGTCTCAACTTAATTCTATTCCCCAAGACACATCTTCAAAGCGGTTGAAGGTCTGTATTGAAGTTGTTCTTTTTAGAATGCTTCTTGACGCCTTTAGGCAGTCTCCTATCTGATTTTATCAAGCTCTCTAAGTCTCTTCTCCTCTTCATCCTTTCTTCTTTTTTCTTTCTCCATCATAACTTTTGCTCTGTAGTCAATCTCTTTTTCTGGTGGTACCTAGCTTCCACCTCTATTGATGTTGATTGGCTATTATTTTTCTTCTATAACAGTAGTAGTTTGATTAGATGGATTTTCATGAGAACTTCTTCTCACCCCTTTTTGATGAAGTCCAACAGATTTAGGATTGAAAATTTTACTGAATTCCTAGTAACTATTGATTGGACCACTAGTTTACTAAGACATCTTGCTATCTATTGAAATTGAGCTTTGGGAAGTTGTGTGATCCCCTTTTCTCATTGCCATGCTAATTTAGGATTTTTCTTCCTCCTAACCCTCATTTTTAACAAAAGACTAATTTTTATTAGCTTTTTGGTTCTAATTTACAAGGGTCTCTTGTTATTGAGAAATCACAGAACCCTTTTTCTAAATAATCGATTCTTTTGCTTTTTATTTACTTTATGGTGGTTTTTGCTGATTTGGGGCTCCAACACCTTATTTGGGTTTAGCTGGATCACCAAATTTGTCAGCGAATTCTTTTTATTTCTTTTAAGCCTCAGTCTCTAGTTATGCCACTTTTTTCTCCAATCTCTTCTTCTCTAAAATCTCCTTTTTAAGTCTTGCCAATTCTTTCTTCTAGTCTAGTGGAGTTGGAATTTTTTATTACTAAATCTATGAACCACCAATCACTTTTCTCATTTTCTTAGCATTCATAGCACCTGAAATCGGGCCCCTGCCTGCCAAAAGTGAAGATTAACTTTCTGGAGTATTACCAAAAAATCCAAGTTTTTCACCTTAATCTTTGACACTATCATAGTTCATGTCATCAACATCTGTGGGAGCTAATTCTACTGGAGGTCCATTTACACATTCATTAATGTAGGCTATAGCTCTTTTTCTGACAAATGACTTATTTAAGATGTCTAGAATTGTTGGTCTTGTACTTGGCTTGACTGAAAGCATTTTTTGTATCAAATCCCTGAGTTACTTAGAGTATGTATTATTGAGAGGAGGATATGAACCTCTTAGAATCTTTACAGCTAGTCCGTTAATAGATTAGGCATCAAAAGCGTGTCGGAGATTACACATCTCATACAAAACACAACCAAGTGCCCACACATCAGATTTATAACTGTATGGTTTGTTTTTGAACAGTTCTGGCGACATATAATATGGAGTTCCAATGCACTAAAATATTATCCAATTAAATATTACTGTGTTAGCGAAATCCTTCGTACTATCTAGCACCTTTGCTATACCGAAATCTCCTAATCTGATCTAATAAATAAGTATAATACTGATAGAGTTACTTTTCCGTTTTTCAAGAATATGTTTTGAGTTTTCATATCTCTGTGAAGGATTTTTCTCTCATGCAAATACAGAAGAGCTAATGACATCTAAACCAACCAATCTATGATTTAAGGTTCTGGGAAGTTCTTTCCTTTAGAGTTTTTAATCTTTGTGTACATATCTCCCCCATCACAATAAGTCATGACCATATTCAAATATTATTCTCTGTCAACAAATGAGTCTTTATAAGCCACGATATTTGTATGCCTGATCTTTTATAACAGTCGAACCTAAAATTGCATTAAAGAGTATGTTTTACCTCATTCTCAGTGTTTTCAAGATCTTTGGGATTCATGTCACGAGTCTTAACCTTTTTAATGACGTAATTTTTGCCCTCTCTCTTATGCCTTACCATGTATACTTAACCAAAGGAACCACTACCAATGGTCTTAATAATTTCATACACGTCCATTGATATTGTTTGAATTGAATTTAAAATTAATTATTAATAATATTAATTAAGTAAAATTTAGATTGGTAGAATGGTAAATACTATTAGTAAAGAATTAGCTGAGCATGTTATCAATGGAGGATTCATTGACTGTAAGGATATCCATGATCACTCTTGCGCCTGGCAAGCCGTTGAGAAATTCTTCACAGTAATGAAAATCGCTTCCAAGTTCTATCTACCCATTCACTGTATCCCAGTTCTCATTTTCAAAAGAAAGAAGCTAATGGAATAGTAAGTTTAACTTAATTATAAATCATTCGATTATTAGACCATTGCAGGTCGTAAAGCAAACTGGAATGAATGTGCTTAGATCATGCCTCTTCATGAGTTGCTACATTGCAATCTTCAGATACCTTACATGCTTCTTCAAAAATTACAGAAGAAAGATTGATAGAACGAACATCATCTTGGCAGGATTCATTTGCACTTTTGCCATTTTATTTGAACCCTCTCACAGAAGAACAGAATTGGCACTCTATCTTATTCCCAGATTCCTAGAAGCTTTCTGGGCTTTCTTAGAGAAGAGGGGTCTAGTCCATTCAGTACAATATGGAGAGGTACTGATCTTTGCTCTAGCTATGGGAATCATCATGTATTGCTACCAGAATGAAGAAAAGAGTATTAAGTCTACCTATTTGTCAATGTTCAAAAGATTCTGGGGAGTCAACTGAGAACTCTGATGTCATCAATCCAATGTATTACAAGGAGATTAAGAAAGTTTGATGTTTACAAAAGTTATTAATATTTGGATTCTCTTCGTCTAATAATTTAACTAATAATCATTAATTCACCAAATCATATGAATTAGATCCTTAAGGGGTTTTGGGGTTTTGGGGTTTTGGGGTTTTGGGG